TTCCACGATAAGTGAGGAACTGCTGTTAAAAAGGCTTCCAACAGCATCTAGCAGCTTATAAAACATAATGTATATGTTAAAAATAATAAATTTATATTCCTAAGTACACCATTAAAAGTTTTTGCTTAAAATATAAATGAAGTTTAAGTATACTTTGGTTATTCCCCTAAGAATTAATATTTTGTTTTGAAACCCAGGTCTCAGTGTTTCTTTCTTATATCATGTATGTTTCTTTTTATGAACTCATTCTTTTTCCTACCTAAAATATGTTGAGAACTTATACAGAGTACTAATTGGGAAACTAAGTGACAAACCATTTAAAGAAGTGCCAGGGGCTAGGGAGATGGCTCAGTAGAATAAGCACTTCCCTGGCAATCGCAAGGGCCTGAGTTCAATCACCATTTCCACAAAAAGATGATGATGATGATGATGATGATGATGATGATGATGATGATGATGATGATGATGTAGTACCAGCCAAGGCTTGGGGTGTAGCTCAGTATCTGAGCACTTGCTTAGCATGAATAAGGTCCTAGTTTCATCTTAGAACTGTTCATTCCCTATCCCAAAGTGCCAGCTGTGTTAGGGGATTTCAGAAAAAGGAAAAGGAGCCACCAGGAAAGGTTTTACAGGGGACATGACATGTGAAATCAGCATTGATTAATGTGTAGCCTTGTTATTGGTGTAGGAATAATTTCAATAATGTCCTAGAAAAAACATATCCATAGTATACCTGGATAAGCGAATAGTTCATGTTGGTCTCAGTGAAGGGAACATTTTTCAGAGGAATGGGACGTAAGCTTGGAAAGATAGAGTTTCTAATGTGAAATATCTTAACTATAAAAAAAGTGAATTGTTTTGGAAATAGGAATCTATAGAGTTCAAAACTAGTAACTTTAGAGCTGTGCTTTATTTTTTTATTTTTATTTAATAGATTGCAAATTGAAAATAAATTATTTACAAACATAAATGAATATAACAATAAAAATTGTCCAAAATAAAAATGAAGAAAGAATTTACAGATCAGTCATAATAGTTCACTGTCAAAACCAAGCAACTTATATTTATATAATTAGAATTCTCAAAGTAGACAGGAGTAGGCAATAAATATTTAAAGATTTAAAATTTCTGAATTTAGTTCAACTTATAATACTATATTTCCAAGAAAAATGAACCTTTTGCACAAGAAATTTAAATAAAATCATACTAAGATATACAAAAATGAAATTGTCCAAAACTTACTGTAAAGAAAAAAGTCATTAAAGCATATACATAAAAAATATTAGCTATGGAAGAACAAAATTAAATAGCACCTTATTCTACATTAGAAAGAAAAAAAAGGACCAAGTGTGTAAAAAACTAGATTAATTAAAGGAGTGAAATAAAAGATCTGTCCTCTTTGAATTTTGTACTTAGCAAACATAACTTTGAAAACTAAAAGTAAGATTTT